TGCATGTTGCATGTTGCATGTTGAATACAAAGCTTGAAATGTATTGTGGATCATATGTAAATAATGCCAGCACAGAAGATAATATGCAAAAAAGAACGCGAAGACAAAGTTTTTGAAAATTTCATATTGTTGTGACCTTAGCTAATTGCATAGTTCATTTCGGGCTTGGAATGCAATAAGCAACAAAACCTTCACCAACTTTCTATAGTTGTATAATAGCTATATATCTCCCCTCTCCTAATCCCCACACCATCCCACATCTATAGACTACAAAACTTTATATCTGGAATTATAAACTTACCAGATGTTTCAGCATTGGCTATGCTGTTTAAGAAGATACGAACGAACCACTCCAGCGAATACTGATACATAGGATCGATATTGGCCTGAAATTACAAATCAAAATAGGATATTTAGTGGTAGTTCACTATAGAACTCATGGGAAGAAATCACAAACCCTCTTCTCAGTCCAACCCACCCCTTCCAGTCTTGAACAAATGGGACTTAAACTTTCAGTCTCATGTAAGGGTCCAAGAGGGGTGTTGTGAGTCCCCCCCCCCCCCCTCTCCCCCTAACGCCATAATTAGTCTTAGATTCTTTTTTTAAAGAGATGCATAATATCTTTATATACATTTCTTCAATTGGGACACCCTCCTAGATCCACCCCTGTAAGGTCACAGCTTACAGATAAGATTGTTTAAACAAAAAGGCCTTTATCACGCCGCAGCCATGTTGACTGGAACAATGGTTTTTTCCCTGGGTAGCCTCGCATTCAAGCGCTTCAGTACGAGGTTAAGATGGTTTAAACTAAGTTTTTATTTTATTTTGGGAAATAATTTAAAATGGCGCCGTGTGTGATGAGGATTCACGTCTAGAAGTAGCGCGTTTCTTTGCATTAATCACTTACCAAATCATTGGTACAGAAAAAGAGGATCCCTGTTCTGATTGCTACCGGGATGTACTGGGAACGAGTGACGTCAATGTCTTTTTCTGTTTGTTCTGCTATCGCCACTTTAGCCTGGAAGCGTTTAAATTAAAATCATCTTGAAAAAGTATGCTGAAGTAGGTGAAACAAACACGAATGGCAAATGATAATCTTTATCCAGTATTATCATCACTATGACTATCATTATCATGCAGTATTATTTATCATCATCATCATCATAAATAATGTCATGTATGATCATCATCATCATTACTATCATACATGACCACCATCACCACAACCAACACCATCATCATGTTTGACTGCCACAAACACCACCATAATCATTCATAATCATCATCATCATGACCATCACAACCATTATGTATGACAATCACCATCATCACCATCATCTTCTCCATCATCATATTTTGATCATGATCATGTATCATTATCATCACTACTATCATGCATGACCACCATCACTCCAACCAACATTATCACCACCATCATTTATCACCATCATTATCACCATTATTAACCATACCATTATTAACTATTTTCATCACGTCATGATTATAACCATGTATCATT